TCCTCCGCTTATCTGGGTCCGGGTCGCGGGGGCAGCATCCCAACTATGAAGCTCCAGACTGTCCTCTCCCCGGCCACCTCCACCAACTCCTCCGGCAGGACCCCAAGGCGTTCCTGGACCAGATTGGAGATGTAACCTCTCCAACGTGTCCTGGGTCGACCAAGGGGCCTCCTGCCGGCAGGACATGCCCGAAACACCTCCTTAGGGAGGCATCCTGACCAGATGCCCAAACCACCTCAACTGACTCCTTTCGATCCGGAGGAGCAGTGATTCTACTCCGAGTCCCTCCCGAATGTTCGAGCTCCTCACCCTATCTCTAAGGCTGAGCCTGGCCACTCTATGGAGGAAACTCATTTTGGCCGCTTGTATTCGCGATCTTGTTCTTTTGGTCATTACCCAAAGCATCACTGCAGACGCTGAACCAATCCGCTTGTCGATCTCCCGATCCCTCCTACCCTCACTCGTGAACTAGACCCCGAGATACTTAAACTCCTCCACATGAGGTAGGACCTCTCTCCTGACCCGGAGTTGGCAAGCCACCCTTTTCCGGTCGAGAACCATGGTCTCAGATTTGGAGGTGCCGATCCTCATCCCAGCCGCTTCACACTTGGCCGCGAACCTACCCAGCAAGAGCTGAAGGTCAGAGCTGGATGAAGCTAGGAGGACCACATCGTCCGCAAGAAGCAGAGATGAGATTATCCTGCCACCAAACTCGTCACACTTCACACCACGGCTGCACCTAGAAATTCTGTCCATAAAGGTAATGAACAGAACCGGTGACAAAGGGCAGCCCTGGCGGGGTCCAACCCTCACCAGGAACATGTCCGACTTACTACCGGCTATGCGGACCAAACTCACGCTCCTCTGGAAAAGGGACTGAATGGCCCTTAACAGAAAGCCACTCACCCCATACACATGGAGCGTCCCCCACAGGGTGCCCCTGGGGACACGGTCATAAGCCTTCTCCAAATCCACAAAACACATGTGGATTGGTTGGGAAAACTCCCATGCCCCCTCCATCACCCTTGCAAGGGTATAGAGCTGGTCCACAGTTCCACGGCCAGGACGAAAACCACATTGCTCCTCCTCAATCTGAGATTCAATTATCGATCGGACCCTCCTCTCCAGTACTTTGGCGTAGACTTTTCCAGGGAGGCTGAGGAGTGTGATCCCCCTATAGTTGGAACACACCCTCAGGTCACCATTCTTAAAGATGGGGACCACCACCCCGGTCTGCCAATCCACAGGAACTGCCCCCGATGACCACGCAATGTTGCAGAGACGTGTCAACCACGACAGCCCTACAACATCCATTGCCTTGAGATACCCAGGACGAATCTCATCCACCCCGAGGGCTCCACCACTGCGTAGTTGTTTGACTACCTATGCAACTTCTGCCCCCGAGATTGGACAGTCCATCCCCAGGTCTCCCGGCTCTGGGAGCTATGTTGTCTGGGGCACTTTGTGCCCCTGGTAGAGTTTCCCATGATAAATTGGTCTTAGGTGAAGGGTGAGACAAAGAACAGTTCAGAGGATCTTTCATGGATGTACATTCAAAGAGTCGGAGTACCCGGCCCGAAGGGTTACCGGGGTCCCACCCTGGAGCCAGGCCTGGGGTTGGGGCCCGTGAGCGAGCGCCTGGTGGCCGGGCTTTCGCCCATGGGGCCCGGCCGGGCCCAGCCCGAATTGGATACATGGGCTTATCTAACTGTGGACCCACCACCCTCAGGAGGAACATGAAGGGTCCGGTGCAGTGTGGATCAGGTGGCAGACTGAGACGGGAGCCTTGGCGGTCCGATCCCCGGACAAGGAAACTGGTTTTTGGGACATGGAACGTCACCTCGCTGGCGGGGAATGAGCAGGAGCTTGTGGCAGAGGTTGAGCGGTACCGGCTAGATATAGTCTGACTCACCTCGACACATAGCATTGGCTCAGGAATTCAAGTCCTTGAGAGGGGTTGGACAATCTCCTTTGCTGGAGATGCTCCAGGTGAGAGGCGGAGGGCTGGGGTTGGCTTTTTGTTAGCCCCAAGACTCTCTGCCTGTGTGTTGGGGTTTACCCCGTGGGACTTGAGGGTAGCTTCCCTGCGCCTTCGGGTCAGGGAACGGGTCCTGACTGTTGTTTGTGCTTATGGGCCAAATATCAGTTCAGATTACCCACCCTTTTTGGAGTCCCTGGGACGAGTGCTAGATAGTGCTCCATCAGGGGACTCCATTGTCCTGCTGGGGGACTTCAATGCTCACGTGGGCAATGACAGCATGACCTGGAGGGGTGTGATTGGGAGGAGCGGCCTGCCTGATCTGAACTCGAGTGGTATTTTGTTATTGGACTTCTGTGCAAGCCGCAGTTTGGCCATAACGAACACCATGTTCGAACATAAGGATGCCCATCGGTACACTTGGTACCAGGGCAGCCTAGGTTGCAGGTCGATGATAGACTTTGTAGTTGTATCATCTGACCTGCGGCCGTATGTTTTGGACACCCGAGTGAAGAGAGGAGCTGAGCTGTCAACTGATCACCCCCTGGTGGTGAGTTGGATCAGATGGCAGGGGACGATGCCGCGTTGACCTGGCAGACCCAAACGCATAGTGAGGGTCTGCTGGGAATGCCTGGCAGAAGAACCTGTCAAGACGGTCTTCAACTCCCACCTCCGGCAGAGCTTTGACCGTGTCCCGAGAGCAGTGGGGGGCATTGACTCAGAGTGGGCCTTGCTCCACTCTGCGATTGTTGAGGCGGCTGTTGCTAGCTGTGGTCGCAAGGTGGCCGGTGCCAGTCGTGGTGGCAACCCTGTACGCGCTGGTGGACATCAGAGGTTCGGGGAGCTGTCAGGCTGAAGAAGGAGGCCTACAGGGCGTGGCCGGTCTGTGAGTCTCTGGAGGCAATAGACAGGTAACCAGATGGCCAAGCGGGGTGCAGCAGTGGCAGTTGCTGAATCAAAATCTCGGGCATGGGAGGAGTTTGGTGAGGCCATGGAGAAAGACTATCGATCGGCTCCAAAGAGGTTCTGGCAAACTGTCCGGCACCTCAGGAGAGGAAGGCAGCAACTCGCTCACACTGTTTACAGCGGGGATGGGGAGCTGCTGACGTCAACTTGGGCTATAGTCAGACGGTGGAAGGAATAATTTGAGGAGCTCCTCAATCCCACCTATGCACATTCCGAGTTTTTGACTTTAATTATCACAATTATCTTGACAAAATAATTAAATGCTCTTCTTTAATTTTTATTAATTATTTTGTACTTAATAATACAACCACACTATTTCCATAATTTCTTTAAGATATTGCTTACAATAAACCAGCAGCTTGACCACTTTGTGATGATTATGCTAACTTATAACAACATATAACAAAACTAGTTTAGAAAGTTTACTAGTTAAGTAAACTCAACTCTAACATTGTTTACTGTTTTTAGCGTAAACTATCATCAGGCAGGAAGTGTTCAGGCTTAGAGTGTGTAACACCTCAAACGGTCAGGCAGGGACAGTCTTTCTGACATTGGACCCCACAGAACGTTCCACAATCCCCTTCTCTTAGTGAATCATCATCAAGTTTTATTTGATGCTACTTTTATTTATTTAAATGTAGTTTTAGCGATTCCCCAATATTTCTCATATTAACTTCAAGATAAAAACCCATCCCTACGAGCTTCTTGAGGTTGGTCATTAAGTTGAAATGAGTTGATTTAAATCAAATCATCATGTTTTCACTTGTTTGTAAAAATTGGATTCTAAAAGAATCTTTGTATCTGGTTTCAGCTTCTCTTTGCTTAATTAAAAATTTTGCATGCAGGCTTTACTTTCATCATAAAAGGTTTGTCACACCGAGATGTCTGGAAAATCCTCATTAGGAGCTGTTTGAAAGGGTTAGCCAGTAAATCGTTTGAGTCAAGAGACGACGAAGAGCATATTTTCTTAGAGAAGCACCATCCGTGTTTATCCTTTTTCTTCCTTTATGTCACACTCAAAATGCCTGCCATTTTCACCGTAGCGGGCCAAAGCACAGTCTAGCAGAAGAAGGATAAATCTCATGATTGTGGTTTAGTGAATCTCTTCATAACGCTAACTCTGTACCTCTCCTGGAATCTTAAGAAGACAGAAGAAGTAGCCCTAATCATTTAGAAATGAAACATGAATTGCACTCTTCCTTGAGATTTTGAGATGAATATAATTAATTTTAAAGATGTGTTTGAATTTCACTCAGACTGCCTTGAAAAGAGCGATTCAGCTTTGCATTAGGTTTCTCCATCTGCAGGTCCATGCAAGGCGACCTTTTTAGTCTCTGCGTGTGCCGTAGTTAGTTAATAGAAAGGCAAAAACAAACCAGCTGCAGTGGCAGGGTTTCCATAAATAATGAAATCAAAATGTAAACCAAGAGAAAAATAAACTATTGTGTTTTATCAGCTAAAGCATTTTATCAAAAATGAATGATAAATGACCCGCACTTGTATAGCGCTTCTCAGAGTAAGGACTCCAAAGCGCTTTACACTACAGTGTATCATTCATCCATTCACACACACATTCATAAACTGGTGGAGATGAGAGGCGAGGCTGCCGAGCACAGGCGCCACCGGACCCTCCGACCACCACCAGCAAGCAAGGTGGGTTAAGTGTCTTGCCTAAGGACACAACAGCAGAATTCTCTGTCGGAGCCGGGATCGAACCTGCAAACTTCCGATTACTGGACAACCCGCTCAACCTGTTGAGCTACTGCTGCCCCAAAACAATGGAACATCTAATTGAGATGTAAATTCAAGGTGGTTATGGTGTTCCACAGGGTTCTGTTCCCGGCTCTGGTTCTTTCTTTAAATTCTTCCTTCATTCTTCAATGATGTATTTTCACAGTTTCATTGAAATATAGCTGTAAGACTCCAAAATACTAATTTCCCAATCACATTAGATGCTGCCCAGACCTGTCTTATAACTTAAACATCTTATCCACGGCTGCCTTCACACTGCTGCAATGTTTGTAAAGCTAATGGTAACTATCTCCTTGCTCCACAGTGGAGGCCGTGGTGGAGTTCGACTATGAGGCTCAGCAGGACGATGAGTTGACCCTGGCGGTGGGCGACGTCATCAAGAACATACGGCGGGATGATGGCGGCTGGTGGGAGGGTGAGCTGGGCGGACGCAGGGGTCTTTTCCCTGATAATTTTGTCAGGGTGAGTAATCACAAAGTCTTTTCTCATTCTAAGCGCCAAACCAAACAAGACCCTTCACAAACAGCCACCAAGTGAACGTATATAGCTGTGGCTTTGGTGTCGATGTGAGTTTCCATTGCTAATTTTAGTGCAGCACAATCACACTTCACACATATCTCTATGTTTTATTTTTTCTTTTATAAGTCAAAGAGAAATAAAGCCTTACTGAGAAATAAAGATAATAATGAACTAATAGATTCTGCAGAACTTTTCAAGGCCCTTAAAGCTCTTCACAGGGAATCTACTTTTCATTCACACTGCTAGGATACGAGATAAGTCAAGCAGAATAAACATTTTGCATTTCTGTTGAAAGCACTTCTCAGTGACACACATGCAGTTTTATCTCCAGATAAAACATGAACAATAAGTGGAAAATGTTGTCTAAAGTGCTTATATTATATATAGCTTTGGAGAAAAGAAGTGAACAACATATAATTTTCAGACTCATAAAACCCTCAATCTCTTTATGAAACCAGCTGCATGTTGCTAATTTTTTCTGCCTTCAGTGTGATATTTTTGTATTTTTTCCAAATGTTTGCTGTTGTATTTTTTTATTTTTTTTTTAGTGCGATTATGTCAAAACTGTGAGTAATCTTTCTGTCCTCAGCAAGCTTGCAGTTTGGAGAAACAGGAAGTGGGAAAAGCCACTAACCAGGCTAACATTTACTCCGATTTGGGAGGGTTATTTTTGCCCTTTAGAGAATCTTTTCCCTCACTCGTGAACAAGACCCCGAAATACTTGAAATCCTCAACTTGAGGCAGGACCTCGTCCCTGACCCGGTGAAGGCATTCTTCCCTTTTCCAGTTCAAAATTGTTTTGTTTATTCCCGCTTGTTAGGAATGTAATCTGTTCTCCTTTCAGTGGGATTGTTTGGAGCATGCAGATAACCTACGTAGCATGTTGGGTTGCCGTTGGAGTGACAGCGTACCACAGGGTGGCGTGCGACCATGTGACATGGCCCCGGCGAGTCCCATCCTGGCTTGGTTGTTTTGAATTTCAAGCAGAACTGGTCACACTGGCCTCATGCCGCTCTAGCATGATGCGGTTGGATCGCACAAGCACGACACGATTATCTAGTGTGTAATACGAGACAGTTGAGTCCTGCCAGAGCCAGGGAGGGATGCCGTGATGAGCAAATCTGTTAAGGTCACCATGGAAACATGCTGCTGATGTATAGAGCATGGTGATGGTGCAAGAGCACGTCCTGCATATGCAGAGAAGGAGGGAAACATCTTTTAGTTGGAATTGTAATGCGTTATATTCAAAGTTCAATCTGAGAGAGTTTAAAGTGAAAAGCAGACCAAGCTCTGAAGCTGAACAAACACGCAGATTCAGACGTCTAAGACATAAAAATGTTGTTTCATGATTATAACGTAGAAATTAACACGGGTTCATGATTTTATCACAGTGTTTTAAATGAAATGTGTTGAAGGGCCCTTTAAACAGTAGAGCTGGTTATAATCTGCAGGATGAAAACACGATGCACCCAGCATTAAGACCCTTATGTTTATGTGTGAGTGGGGGAGGAGTTTGAACATTTTTTCACGTACTTAGTTAGTACTTCGCTGTTAGTGTACAGCGCCTTGTTTGGTTGTAATGCCTTGTGAATGCGCTTTATAAATAAAATGGGATTGGATTGGTACTTTTTCACTCTTACTATTAAATACATTTAAAGGAAGTTATCTCTAGTTTAGGGTAATTGTTGCTGTCATACACGTGACTTATTCAACCAAATTGCTTAATATTTTAGATGTTGTGCAAAGTATTGACCCTCTCATAACCAAGTAAAAGGAAAGAAAAGTCAAGTCAATTTGATAAAAAGCAACTAATTCCAAGACCCGCAGTCGGCTAAAATGTTTGCAGAGTTTGCGGTTAAGGACCACTTGTTTCTTTTATTTAGAACAGATAAAAATGAAGGTTTAAAGATGCCAGAGGCCTCAAGAACTCCCTCACTCTAAATAGTGTGATGCTGAATATGATTTTTGTAGTAAATTATTCTAAAAGCAACTATGCTAATCGCAGGTTTTACCCTGCTAAGCATTTGTCCTACAAAGTAACTCACTGGATTTGATTTAACTGTACTTTGAGCTGTTTTTATGGGAGCTGCAACAATTTTTTGAAATTAGGACTCATTCAACAGAAAATTAACCGAAACAATCCTTCGTAACCATTAGAAAGAAGATAAAATTTTATACGCGGAACTAGAATCATGTTCTTTTTCAGTCCACCACAATATCCACCCACCCCAAAAGCAAAGGGTCAGCTGTAGATTTACATGTTTTAGGATATTATTGTAGGTCTCAGCTCTACGCCTCAAGCAGATAAAAACTGGCTGCAGAAGTCGGGAACTGGGCATGTTTAGAGCCCTGAAGCATGGCAGTGCAGCCAAGAAGCAATGTTTTTAACGAAACAAAAGCTTTATGCATTTGCATGTATGTTTCTACAATACAGTGGAGCGGGGTTGTTCAACTCTGGGCCTCGAGGGCCGGTTTCCAGCTTGTTTTAGTGGTTTCTCTGCTCCAACACACTGTATTCAGTAGGGGTGGGAATCTTCAGGAACATCATGATTCGATTCGATTACGATTCAGGGAGCTCTGATTATTGATGCATCTTTCTCCTCCCTCACCTGGCTGCCAAGTGATTACGTGGTACTTAAGAAAAACATTTGTAATGATGAAACATTAACTTACTTCCAATATATAAGGCCCTGTCCACACGTAGCCGGGGATCTGCCAAAACGTAGATACTTTTCTACGTTTTGGCCTGTCATCCACACGAAAACGGATCTTTTTAAAAACTCCGGCCAAAGTGAAGATCTGCGTTTTCTCCGTTTTGGGTGTCTGCGTGTGGACGGACAAAACCGGAGTTTTAAAGTCCGCAACGTCACTTTCCGCGACGAAAAAATGCTGACATCACGTGTGCGACCTGTGTTTACACTAGCCGACAGCATGGAAGCCCTCAGAGCTGCGCTCGCTTTATCAATTGTCCAAGCGCTTTTTGCTTGTTTGTTTTTGCAAGCAGAATTACTGCTCCTTGCGTAAGACCACAGACGAAGGACGAGGTTAAGAACGGGAGAAGTACTGCCGCCTACAGGTCTGGCATGTCCTTAACAACGTATTTATCCGGGTACGTGTGGACAGTTTCCTTTTAAAACGAGGTGGTGTGGATTCAAGTTTTTGGAGGGGCGGATATTCGTTTTCAAAAAAACCGGCTACGTGTGGACTAGGCCTAAGTATCAGTGCAGTGTTTTAAAGAAAAGAAGTGCTGCCATTAACAGCTTCCAAACAAAATAACGCTGGATGTCCAATTCATTTGAGCATGAATAACTGTTCTTTTTCAAAAAATAAGTACGATTAGACAGCAACCTTTAGAACGTCAATTAAATGTGTAAATAAAAGCATAAAACAGGAAATAAATAGCGCACAGATGCAAATCTTTTGCGATAAAACTTGCTATGGGCTTTGCAATTCTGCTCGCCTTTTCAGAGTTTGGTGGAAATTTTAACAATGCCTGCTCAATAATTTTCTGGTTGGTGGCGGTGTTACACCAAATTCTGTGACCCATCACAATTTGTGACCCCAGGGGGCAGTGTTGCATTTTGTTGCGTCTGTACATCCTGAATTGGCATAAAAGAAGAAGATGCTACGTTCAAACCGTAAACTTTGAGGAAGTTGTGCGGCGCGGACCGTGGTCACACAATATGATGGTGGCCATCACAGAGTGTGACCACCTGCATCTCAGTAATAATGCAGATGTCAGAGGTCAGATGCACTTTTTTATAAACTACATCATCAGAGAAGTTACCAGAAACAGTTTGTGTGATGTAAAAATCGTTATAACTGAAGTTACAGTAAAGTCACACAATATGATAGTGGCTATCACAGAATGTGACCATCTGCATCTCAGAAATAATGCAGATGACTTTTATTTTTGCTAAAGATAATAACGTAGCGACCCCGAGCGTCTCTGCGGCAGGTTTATAGTCCCCAACTCAACCAGCAGGAGGCAGTAGTGGTTCACACCAGAACTTTATTAGGCTTCTTCTTCTACACTTTGTAACGCTACAGACACCGAACCTCTATCACGCTCCTACCACACAGAGTCACGGTGTCAGTTAACCATGCTAATTCAACCCGCTCCACAGAACACACATCACCTTCCCTGTGGCTTACATTAACATAACACTCGCACAACACACAAATCTACACACAGGAACTAGCAGAACGATAGGAAACACATATAACACAATACCCAGAATGCACCTGGCTTACAACCCCAGCCAGGTCATTACAATAACAACAAAAGGCGTTTCGTGATGTGTGTCATTTTATTTCCCTTTTATCTCCACCAGTACATATGAGTGGCATTGGAGTGACAGGAAAAAAACCCGTAGCAACCAGATAATCGGCACTGGTGTCTAATAAACTGAGGATGTAGATCACAACAATTTATTTCAGTAAATGGAAGTTCTGAACATTTTACCTGCGGACCTTGCATGTTGTAAAATCAGTGTTTAATGTTAGCAAACATTTCTTGTCAAAGCCCTGCTTATCGCTGCATTTATTGTCCCGTTTGTTTGCAATAAACATTAACAAACGCTCTTTTTAACATCCACGGTCCGCGCCGCACAACTTCCTCAAAGCTTACGTAGTTTACGGTTTGAACGTAGCATCTTCTTCTTTTATGCCAATTCAGGATGTACAGACGCAACAAAATGCAACACTGCCCCCTGGGGTCACAAATTGTGACGGGTCACAGAATTTGGTGTAACAGCGGCAGCGGCAGCCGCAGCCACCGGCGTCTTTTTCTCCTCCTCCGGGTGAAGACGATCAACGTGGTTTCTCGTGTTTGTTGTGTTTCCATAATACTTCAGTTTTATTTTACACAACTTGAATACCGTATGGCTTTTGTCCAGGTCCCTTTCCCCCTCAAACTCATAAAAACCAAAGTAATTCCATAC